TCTGATTTGACATTTCTGGTAAAGGACATGGAAGAGAGACATGCCTTTTGATCCATTTCTGCTTTGATGGTTCTGTGCAGACTCCCTGAGAGGCAGTGCAGTGAAGTGCTTACATAGATAGGCCTGGTTTTTGTTGTTTTTTTTTTTTAAGATTTATTTTATTTATGCATACAACAGCTGGGTGCAGGCCAGAGGTGTGGGTTGCGGGGTGGTTGGGGGGGGCAGGAAGGAGGGGGGAGTGAGAGGATTCACCAGAGACAGAGTGGGGAGCAGAGCAGGCAGAATGACTGAAATACACTGCTGAGTGGGGCAGTGGGCAAGACAGGAGAGGTCTGCTGCGCCATGTGGGTCACCTTCCTGGCTGGGGATTGAACTTGTGCTGCAGTGGCTGTGGATAGCTTCATAATGCTGAGACTTAACCCCTTGCACCACAAGGGAGGTCCAATAGACAGGCCTGATTTTAAAGGGCTCTACAGGCCTTTTAGCTATGCAATAGAACAACTAGTTGAGCAATGGACTTAAACCCTCTGGACCTCAGTTTCCTCCATGTAAAATGGGGGGGAAGAAGAACAGTCTCTATTTCCTAGACAGTGTCAAGAAGATTAAAGAACAACACAGGGGCCTCACTATCAAGCTATCAGCAGCCACTGCAGCACGAGTTCAATCCCCAGTTGGCCAGGGAGCTGACCCACATGGTGCAGCAGACCTCTCCTGTCCTGCTGCTCCCCTCAGTAGTCTATTTCAGTAGATCTACCTGTTCTGCTCTGCACACTGAGTGTGGTGAATCCTCTCACCATCCCTCCAAGCCTCTGGTTTATACCCCAGTTCTTTTTTTTTTAAGATTTATTTATTTATACAAGCACTGGGTACAGTCAGAAGCGCAGGAGGGTGAGAGAATTCACCAGAGCCAGAGCGGGGAACAGAACAGGCAGACTGACAAAGTACACTGCTGAGGGGAGCAGCAGGCGCAGCAGGAGAGGTCTGCGCGCCATGTGGGACCCTCGCCCGGTGGCCGGGGATCGAACTGGTGCTGCAGAGGCTGCAGGCAGCTTTGCAGCCCAGCGCTCAACCGCTGCGCCACCGGGGAGGCCCTAAACCTTTTTTTTAAAAAAGAACAAAACAAAAAAGGGACCCACCCAAGTCTGACATAATAAACATCTGATTAAAAAAAGAAAATCAAGGGCCTCCCTGGTGGCGCAAGGAGTTAAGCACAGAACTGTGAAGCAATCCACAGCCTCTGCAGCAGGAGTTTGATCCCCTGGCCTGGCCTACCAGGAAGCAACCCACATGGCATAACAGACCTCTCCTGTTTCACCTGCTGCTCCCCTCAGCAGTGTATTTCAGTCAGTCTGCCTGTTCTGTTCCCCCACTCTGTCTCAGGTGAATCCTTTTATCCCCCGCACCTCTAGCCTGTACCCCAGCTCTTGTATGCATAAATAAATATATCTTAAAAAAACAAAAAGACAATCGATGTGTCCAAATCTCCAAATCATTGTGTGTGTCTTTTGCAACAATATGCATCCATGATCACATTTACATGAAGTTCTAGTACAGGCAAAAATAATCTATGAAGAAATCAGATTAGTGGTTGTTCTAGTGTGTGGGGTGGTGAGTAAACGGGAAAGAGTATAAAGGAACTTTCTGGAAGACTAGAAATATTATCCTATTGAATAATATCCTAATGGGAGGAGGCTATGTGGAAATAGACACTTAGCAAGACAAACTGACCAGTTCACTTAATATCAAAGGTATGTCAATTACATCCCAATTAGAAAAGAAAACAAACTGTGAGTAAAGTTCAAGTCCAGGACTCCTGCTCAGGAAACCAGTCAGGTGAGATTAGAGGAGATATGAGAAGGGCCAAAAAGAGGACAAAGGTGACAAAGACAGAGGAATACAAGGTGTGTTCAAAAGAATTTCCAGAACTTGATAAGTGAGGGGGCCACTTTCAGGAGTGCAGGGAACTAAGAGAATGAGCAGAAGAGAGGGAGGGAGGAGAGAAGCCAGTGAGTTGGGCTCTGGAATCTGCTGTGGTCACATATACTGATGATTGATTTGTCCAACGACTGATTCCAAACAGGATGTCGCCCTCAGAGGTGCCTCTATAATACACCCCACACCCCACTGACTCACAGCCCGATCATGATAATGCCAAAAAGAGGAAATTACTCATTTTTTTGCTGCTATCACACAGGACTCTCAAAAAATTAAAAAGGAAGTTCAGGCTAGGGGCATTTGCAATGATAGCTCAGAGGGGAAACTCCTGTTATCCCACCCACCCCCACATAGGTGATGGACCTTGGGTTGCCACTAACGCACACAATGCTCTCCTCTCCCAAGCTTTGCACAAGGACATATCTTATCTATAAAATGTGCCCCTGGAAAGACTGGAGCTAGTAATTATACAGCTTAAGTCCCTTTAAAGTACAAAAAAACCCTGGAAATCTAGCTGTCCCCTGACAACAGTGTCCAATATTTGCTAGCCACTGATGGCTGTAGACCTCATGAACAGGAAGACCCCAACTACTACATATTTCTGTCAATAGCTGTCATCAGCTCTGGACAATGTTTTGTTGTTGTTTTTTTTAAATTTATTTATTTATGCATACAAGAGCTGAGGTACAGGCCAGAGGTGCGGGGGATGAGAGGATTCACCAGAGACAGAGTGCGGAACAGAACAGGCAGACGGACTGAAATACACTGCTGAGGGGAGCAGCGGGTGAGACAGGAGAGGTCTTCTGTGCCATGTGAGTAGCTCCCTGGCTGGCCGGGGATCAAACTGCAGAGGCCTGGATAGCTTCACAGTGCTGTGTTTAACCCCTTGTGGACAATGTTTGAAAAGTGAATGGATTTAATTGTGGCAGGCACAGCAGGACAACAGCAGGCTGGGAAATGAACTCTCACTGGCTTGCTAGTTGAAACAGAGGAACAGCCATCAGGAACAGAGTGATCACCCAGTGACGCACACCAGACAGGTGTCCCCAACACCGGAGACAAGAACTAGCCCTATTCCAAACAGCTCAGCCCAAAGAAACCCCAAGTCTTTCTTGTTCCCTCCTCATTGCAGATCAAAGTTTGAATTTTCCATGTCAGTTTTATTTTAAGTTCAGCAAAAGCAAACCAGAGAACCACCCCACACCCCCTTATACTGGAGATACCTAAAATTACACAAATACTGCATTTTCCTAAAAAAAAAATCTCTAAATTTTAGTACTTAGAGCTCATGTCACAAATGATATCAAGAGCAAGATTACTAAAATAGGGCCTCCCCTGGTGGTGCAGCAGTTGAGCGCTGGGCTGCGAACCTGCCCGCAGCCTCTGCAGCGCCAGTTCGATCCCCGGCTGCTCCCAGGCCATGGGAGGAGAGTCCCACATGGCGCGCAGACCTCTCCTGCCGCCCGCTGCTCCCCTCAGCAGTGTACTTCGGTCCTTCTGCCTGTTCTGCTCCCTGCTCTGGCTCTGGTGAATTCTCTCACCCTCCCGCGCTTCTGACTGTACCCAGTGCTTGTATAAATAAATAAATAAATCTTAAAAAAAAAAAAAAAATCCAGCACCCACTATCCTCTTGCCAAATCTAAATTTGAAACGTCCTAAAATGAAAATCAAGTGGGTAACTCAGCTTGTTAGGGGGAAAAGGATGTCCTAAGCTAATTCCATACAGGCTTTGTGGACTCCACCCCCACCCCAGGCCAAAGCCAAAGACACTGGGAACTCCAAATCCCATCACCACCAAAGGGAAGGTGGCTGGGGCCTGAGGGTGGGGTTAAGCAGCCAGGTGTGGTATAAAGCCAGACACGTGGGCTTTGGAGGGGTCCCCCATTTTGACTCTCTGCCAGCTCGCAGTGTCCGGCCAGCTCAGAGAGTGCTTTTTGGGTTTCCAGGTCGGCGGATCGGGTAGGACGCATTAAAGACTTTATTTCCCTATTTTCTCCCTGAGTTGTACATTTTCCTTATTTCCTTTTCCCTTGTAAATAAACCTTTTATTAACCTTTTGTGTGTGCCTGTAGTGGAGGATTAATAAGTCCCTGTTAAGCACGCGGGTGAGGACCCACAGCCAGGAACCCGTTTTATTTATATCGCGGCGGCCCTATAACAAGCTGAACCCATTTAAAGTCTCTGAACAACCCCGTGGGGTTGGTCAACTTGACCCGGCAGGCAGAGCACGGGCGGCCGCAGAGACAAGTGAGAACGAAGGCTTCGCTAGGGACCCCTCGGAAAACTGCGGCCTATGCCAAGGCGATCCCGGCGCCCAGAGCGCACCCCGTCCCTGCTGCCGGACCCGGCTGCAAGGACGCGGACGTGCGCCCCCCTTCGAGACAGGCAGCTCCCGCGGAAGCTCCCGGTTCGCCAACGCAAGAACCAGGTGCTGGAGTTACTGGCGCTAGCCCCGCCCACAGCGCGCAAGCCCCACCCCGAGACGGGCGTGTCTCCGCAACCGCCATATACCATTGGCCAAGGGGAGTGGCTCGAGACTCGCCTGTTCATAGCGCGCCCAATGGGAGCTCGAGGGCGGGTCCGCCGGGCTGGAGGCGGCAGCCCGGGGCAGAAGTGCGCGTGAAGCGCCTGGGGTGAACGTGCTGGCCTTGCGCCGGCAGCGCGCGGCGCCCTCGAGGCGCACAAAACCAACCTGGCCGCGGTAACCCCTGCTGGCAAACGGTAGCCGGCGAACGCCCGCAGGCACTTTCAGGCTGGGCAGACAGGGGTTGGTCACCCTCACCCTTGGAATAACTCCGGGAGACCCTACCCAGGCGTGGAGTTCCCTGGCCCAGCGCCCCCTGGGCTTTGAGGAAGACCAGGGAGAGGCTTTCCCGGGAAAGCCGCTCGGGGTTTCCTTCCTCCACCAGGGTTCTCGTCAGCGCCCCCCGTGTGGGAAAAGCTACGTCCCATTTCTCCTCAAGTCTTAGAAGTATTGGGTGATTTGGCTCTCCCCCCGAATTACCAGGGATTTCCGAATTCGGGGGGCCCACCCCAACCTCCCGCGGCGCCCGGAGTAGCCTTACCTGCTGCCCCCGCCACGGCGAGGAGCAGGGCCACCGCCCAGCGCAGTCCCCAGTTTTCGGGCCTCATGTTTGCAGTCTCCCCCGCGACGGCCGGGCGCTGGCAGCTGTCCGCAGAGTCGGCGCTGGAAACCGGGCTTCGCGGGGCCCCAGTCATTTGCAACATTTCAATGTGAAGTTTCTCGCAGGGGGAGGAGTTTGCGGTGGGGTGATTTTCAAATATCTTCGCCTCACTGGGAGAGGAGGAGTTTGGAACGGCCGATGTGACATGGACGCCTTAACCCTTGAAGCCCAGACTCAGACTCCAGCCCTTTCTAAAGCCAGGGCAGGCTGCTTGATACGCTGTAGTTCGGTAGCTGGAGACCAGCTCGTCTCTCCCGCCCCACCCTGCAACGCTGGAAATGTGCCTCCTGAGAGATTTTGCCACGGTGCTCCTGGAAGATTGTTAACATCCCGCTGTTTTTCCAAATTGTCTAATAATCTAAAGACGACCTCCCCTCTACCTCAAAAGAAAAAGAAGAAAAAAAAAAAAACCACTAGCTAAGTTGGACACACACACACACACACACACACACACACACACACCTTTCTAGGAATTGTGTATAGATTTTAATTGACTGTAAGTGAATATTGTTTTGAGATTGTTTATACAGAGATTTGGAAGAACAATCAACAAGGCATTTAAATAAAATCTTTAGGAAAGTACACCCAAAATAATTTTATTTTGTGGGATCCAGTTCTTGGATGAATTATGAGCAAAAACATTTCTAAAGTCAGTTGACCCAAGCCTCAAGGTCTGGACATATTGATTTATCCTTTTAAGAGGAGTTTAACAAACAAGAAGGCTGCTTTCTTTCCCCAAAACAAAATCAAAACAAAACAGGGCTTTTGCCTGATTACTGAAGTCAATTTGGGAGATGCTGGGTTTGGAGAGTGGGGTCCTTGGATTAACTCTGGGAAAAGTTTCACCAGAGCTCCTCTTTCAGTGGCAATGCCAAATTTCCCAGGCAAGTTTCTCCATGAGACAGAGGTGTTACTTATATCTAAAAGGGCACGTTTATTATGGGAAAAAAGAGAGAAAAGGGAAACTTGCATAGACACAAGTGGGCAGAAAGAGCTGCCCCCAAAGAGCAGGTTTGCTAAAAGAGGCCTTCAGGCAGGCAGCCTTGAAGAGAGCTGCCTCTGCGGAGGGAGAGAATGGGCGAAAAGCACCCGCATAGTCACAGGTGAGCAGGACTGCTGCTTCCTGTCAGTGCAAAAATTGCCCTGATACAGTCTTCTCTTTGGGAGGGGCTCATTCCTTCGTGGAGTGGTTTGTTTTTGTTGATTTTGAATAACTATGTAGAATTTGAAAAGGACCAGAGATTCTACAATGGCCCTTAATCTCCATATCCTCACCTCTGGTCTGCCCCCATGACTCTTGCTTAGTCTGTACCTTGTGATCTAGAGGTTAGTGCCTAAGGATTGTTATTTCCATAGCTAGTTTAATAATCATGTTAATCACTTCTACTCCCACCTCCAGCTCTTGGCATTGCAGGAGCCAGATTACTGGTCTTATGGTGCCTCCTTTCTCTCCAAGTTTTCTATTCTTTTCCTCCATCAAAAACCACAAAGGACAGTTGTTCTCCAGGAGTAACTTTTTTTTTCTTTTTTTTTTTAGATTTATTTATTTATGCACACAGGAATTGAGGTACAGGCCAGAGGAGTTGGTGGTGAGAAGATTCACCAGAGACAGAGTGGGGAACAGAACAGGCAGACTGACTGAAATACACTGAGGGGACAGGAGAGGTCTGCTGCTCCATGTGGGTCAGCTCCCTGGCCAGGGATTGAGCGCATGCTGCAGTGGCTGGGGAGAGATTCATAGTGCTGAGACTTAATCCCTTGTGCCACAAGAGAGACCATAAGAATAATTTAAGAATTGGGGAGCCTCTTGGGGGTTCGTAAGGTTGCTTGAGGCCCTTTACCAAAAAGGCACGTATGAGAATCTCCTGTACCTACAAAGGCTCTGGCTTTCTTGCTGGCTTCTTCCAGAGGTGGATTTCTCTGGTGTTTTACAAACTGAATTTGGCAGGCATACTAACCTCACAGCAGGCTTATGGGGAAATTCATGAGGGGAAGACAGAGAAGAAGCAGAAAGAAAACTAGTTAATTCAGAGGAAGATTTTTATCAAGAGTGTAGGGCAGGTGCCTCCCTGGTGGCACAGGGGTTAAAGACAGTGCTATCAAGCTATCTCCAGTCACTGCAGCATAGTTTGATTCCCAGGCCAGCCAGGGAACTACCCACATGGTGCAGCAGACCTCTCCTGTCTCATCCGCTGCTCTCCTTAGCAATCTGTTTCAGTCAGTCTGCCTGTTCTGTTCCCCACTCTGTCTCTGGTGAATCCTCTCACCCACCCCAACACCTCTGGCCTGTACCCCAGTTCTTGTATGCATAAATAAATAAATCTTAAAAAAAAAAAAAAGAGTGTAGAGCAGTTAAGAGCCCCAGCATACAAATCAGACACACCTTGGGTAGCTAAATCAGCTTCCCCAACCTGGAAAGTAAAAGAAATAATGCCTTGCTTCCCATGGTAGTTTCAAGGTCAGGCTCAAGTGAGATAATTAGCATTACCTGAGAGAAATTTACAAGAATAGGCAAGTTCTGGGAGTTGTTGCAACATTTATGACTGTCACTATCAAATTCCTTTCCTTACACCAAATGCTGTTCCCCCAACCTCTCCTCCCCCCGCCCCTGCCAGAGCATTAGGTTTGATTTCCCTTCAGAAAAATTACAAGAGTTAATAAGCTCAGTTTCTATTGTGAGCCCAATTTTTCCTTATGCATCTGGTGGAAAGAAACCTTGTATGGGGTCTTTTCTCTTCTGGAGAGAGCCACCTGCAAAGGTGCTTAATGTCTCCAGAGTTAGTTCTACATAAAGGTGAGGGCAGCTTTAAAAAGAATATTCCCAGAATAATAATTTAATCTATTTACTTCTGCTTCTAGGAACCTCATTTACTCTCTTGAAACTACTTCATATGGTTGTAGGGAGAATTAAGTAAAAATATAAAATGACGGAGGCAAACTTGGCACATAATAAATACCATAGATACATAGATTTAAAATTATTTTTGGCTGTCTTTGTATTACAATACATCTTTTTATTTTCTTCTTCAGAGAAGAACTTCCACCTAGGCTCTTAAAAATCATCTTCCCTTGGGGGACCACCTTGGTGGCGCAAGGGGTTAGGACACAACCTATGAAGCTGCCCGCAGCCACTGCAGCACCAGTTCGATCCCCTGTCCAGGGAGGTGACCCACATGGCACAGAAGACCTCTTCTGACTCGCCTGCTGCTCCCCACAGCGTGTATTTCAGTCAATCTGCCTGTTCTGTTCCCCACTCTGTCTCTGGTGAATCTTCTACTTCCACACCTCTGTCCTGTACCCGAGTTCTTGTATGCATTTAAAAAAATAAATCTTGGGCCTCCCCTGGTGGCTCAGCAGTTGAGCGCTGGGCTGTGAAGCTGCGAAGCTGCCCACAGCCTCTGCAGCGCCAGTTCAATCCCCGCCCACCAGCAAGGGCCCCTCATGGCGTGCAGACATCTCCTGCCATGCCCACTGCTCCCCTCAGCAGTGTATTTCATCGGTCTGCCTGTTCTGTTCCCGGCTCTGGCTCTGGTGAATTCTCTCACCCTCCCGCGCTTCTGACTGTACCCAGTGCTTGTATAAATAAATACATAAATCTTAAAAAAAAAAAAAAATCTTTTAAACCTACTTCATCTGAAAGCTCCTGGGTTTGCAGTGTCTTCTAGGACAACCCAGGGAGGGTGTTTTCAGCATTCTAATGAACCAGCATCATGCTGGTTTTCACCTCTCTAATTCACCAGAAGGCTTTGACACGAATTAATATCTGAAGCCCAAAGGAATCCTAACTTGGCAGAGATGAGCTATAGCAGAGCTGCCATCTGGCCTTGAACCCAGAGGTCAGCAGAGAGCAGGAGTAACCACAGACACCTCAGTGCCTTCTAGTAGGTACAATTAGGGACCTGCCTTAATTCATTCCCCATGAATTATCTCCATAAAACGCCCATAAACCACATGAGAAGACACCATGGCTGGTCTCCCAGCACCTGCCTGCAGTAAGCATTAAATTAGTGAAAACAGGAGAAGTTGTTGGTGTGGCTGCAACAACATCAGAAATGTATTGAGAAGGGTGCAAGGGTTGTCAGCGTTATGAAGCTATCCGCAGTTTGATGCCCAGCCATGGAGCAACCTACATGGCACAGCAGACCTCTCCTGTGTTGCCCGCTGCTCCCCTCAGCAGTGTATTTCAGTCAGTTTGCCTGTTCTGTTCCCCACTCTGTCTCTGGTGAATCCTCTCACCACCACCACCCCCATACCTCTGGCCTGTACCCCAGCTCTTATATGCATAAATAAATAAATCTTTTTAAAAAATGTATTGAGAACATGGAGAGCCCAGAACAGTGGTCAGGGGAAAGTCAAAACTGACCAAGATACCACTTGGACCTCAGGACTCCAAGAAAGAACAGGGCAGGTTTGTGCACAATGCAGAGGCCATTCAAAATGAGAAGTGGGAGGCTCCTTGAGAAAAAGATATTTTCATTGAGTTTGAATAGGTGAAAACACTTGAATAGGTGAAAAATACTTAGAAATAAAGCTAACCAAGAAGGTGAAAGACATGTATACAAAAAACTAAAAAACATTGTTGAAAGAAGTTAAGACACAAGTTTATGGAGAGATACCCCAAGTTCATGAACTGGAAGACTTAATACGGTTAAGATGTCAATAGTACACAAATCCATGTACAGATTCAGTACACTCCCTATTAATTCCCAGTGGTTTTTGCAGAAATAGAAGATATCCATTCTAAACTTCATGTGGAATATCAAGAGACCCTGAATAGCTAAAATAATCTTTTCTTTTAAAGATTTATTTATCTATACAAGAACTGGGGTGTAAACTAGAGGTGGGGGTTGAGAGGATTCACCAAAGAGAGTGGGGAACAGAACAGGCAGATCTACTAAAATACACTGCTGAGGGGAGCAGTGGGCGAGACAAGAAAGGTCTGCTGCACAATATGGGTTGCTCCCTGGCCAGCCAGGGGTCTGCAGTGGCTGGCGATAGCCTGATAGTGCTGTCTTTAACCCCTATGCCACCAGGGAGGTCCCAGCTAAAATAATCTTTTAAAAAAAGGTTGGAGG